TCTCTGGTGAATCCTCTCACCCTCCCGCACATCTGGCCTGTACCCCAGTTCTTGTATAAATAAAAAAATCTTAAAAAAAATCAAAAATGAAGAAAAACTTGCAATATAATGACACTTTACTCATCTACACCCAGATTTCCAAAACTTAAGTGCATTAAGAACCACCTGTTGCACCTGCCCTGGTGGCACAGAGGTTGAGCACTGGGCTGCCCATAGCCTGTGCAGTGCAGATACGATCCCTGGTCACCGGTAAGGGTCCCACATGGTGCGAAAGACCTCTCCTGCCGCACCCACTGCTCCCCTAGCAGTGTATTTCATCAGTCTCTGCCTGTTCTGTTTCCTGCTCTGGCTCTGGTGAATTCTCTCACCCTCCCATGCTTCTGACTGTACCCAGTGCTTGTATAAATAAATAAATAAATATATTTTTTTAAAGACCATCTGTTCCAGGTGCCCTAGGGGACCGTTTAACCATCTCATAACTCATATTAACTATAAGGACAATAGTGGCGAGTCAGTAAAATCACGGAAACAACATTTCTAATAAATGTCAAAATGTGGCAACATTTCCTTCCCTGGAATTCTGCTTCTCTCCCACTTTCTTCTGTGAGGGCTCCAGGAATAATGAGAAACCCAGTGTTCCATCTTTACACCCTAGTCAATGCTGCCTTGGCAGCCAAAGTTTAAGAAATTTGTTTTGGAAAGCGTTCCTCACAGTCCCCATCTCCTAAGAATTCTGGCACAAGGCTATGGGGGCGGGGGGGGGAAGGGGCTGTAAACAACCTGATGGACAGAAGCGACGCTGCAGTCAAATCTGCTTTTCCCCTCTCTCCCCTGGGTAGTGACTAAGTGCTCCAAATGTGAGAGGAAAAAAGAGTTTCTTTTCCATCATTTACCTTAGTGTCCCATACTAAGGGACTCCATGAAGGTCACAATTCATCTCGACATTCTTCTTTCCTAAAGGTTCACCTAGCAGGATCTGAGCTGGATCTCTAACTTGCACGACAAATCAACACCCCATTAGGGTGGGGAGGACAAGGCTTTCCAACTCAGAATTACTTTTATGATGACCACAGAGAAAACTTTTGATTAGGCTTCAAAACAGCTCTTCTTTCTCAAGAAACTCAGGGAATGCTGCATGTGGCATTCAGAATCCAGGAGCTGTCCATGGTCCAATATCTTTGTAAGAATGCTGTTGTGAGAGAGGGGTGGAGCAACATGGCGGCGAGGAGATGCTGTGAGTAAGATCTCCCATTAAAAAAAGTTAATAGGGAGGAAAAGCGGCAGGTCCCAGTGAGAACTGGGACACGGAAGATAAACAGGTGACTCCAGCAAACTGCCCGAAGAGGAAAGATGCCATAAAAGAGGACTAGAAGGGAGGAAAGCGCAGAACCCTGCTCCCCTACCCCACCCACAAAGTCGGCACTCTCCGACCATCAGAAAGAAGGGAAAAAACAAACTAAAATGACCAACAAGAATGAACTACGCATCAAGCGAGACTGAGAGGAAAGGAACTATTGCAGCCACCACACCCCATGAACGGGAGCTGTGGAGAACCCTGCAGGATTCGCTGCGGTGGTGAGTGAACGGCTCCGGGAGCCATTAGAGAACAACAAAGACCACCGGAGGAGACCCGCACACAGCCCCGGGCCGGCCAGTAAGCTTGTGCAGAAAAGCTGCGCGCTTGGCGCACTTGAAAAGCAAACGCAGATCTGGATCGCGGCTGCCCAGGTCCTCGCGCCTGCGACCTAGGCTTGCGGGGAGACGCGCGGGGACCCTCACTGAGGTGAAAGTCCCTCACTGAGTAAGCAGGAAACAGGTGCTGAGGCACGGGAGCGGGGTGCAAAAGGCGCCATTCCCGTACCACTGAACTGGGCTACAGCCCACCTCCTGGACCTGAGGGCTTTGGAACTGACACCGAGGGCACGAAATTGGGGGCGTGGGTTCTCCATGATGGTGGGGCACAAGGCAGACACAGCACCCCAAAGCCGTTGAGGTTTACCCTACCATTCCCGCTCTGTTCCCTGTCCCACGGGGCGGGGGGGGGGGTGTCGAAAAACAGCCCCTCAAGGACAATAGGAGAGATCTCTGGCGCCACCTAGCGAACAGAAAAAAAAAGTCACTAACACCCCATAGAACAGGGGAATTTCTTAAGAAAAGACTTCTTGAAAAAGGCAGAAGGCTTCCGGAGGACCCAGTGGCCAGCTGGGAAGTTAGCCCACGCCAAGCCCCTCCCTACCAGCAGTCTGAGCCCACAGAGGGAGCAGGCACCCACGTTTGGGGCAGACCGGGCACGCAGAAGAGTGTGTCTGAGACCGGATGTGCAGGGACTGCGTCCTGCTTCGCCATTTTAGAACAGGGACATTTCTTCAGTAAAGACTGCCTGAAACCAGCAGAAAGCTCCCTCAGAAGCCAGAGATGGCTCCTGGAGGTGCCAGAGGGGAGAGGAGAAGTTCACCCAAGATGCCGGCCAGTCCGAGCAACACAGTGTCCCAATGCATACGACAAATTAGAAAACAGACAGTAGGGAGTACAAGAACCACACGCAACCTAACAAATCCTCAGGAAAGAAGCACACCACAAAAAGAAAACCACCCCCCAGATTGCAACAACAGTAACTTGGAAGAACTTCTGAGCCTTCCAGAAAGAGAATTTAAAATTGCCATGATTAAAAAAATGACAGAACACATAAAGGAAAACAATAATCAGAAGAAGGAAATTGAGTCCCTAAAGAGGGAAAACAATGGTCAGAAGAATGAAATTGAGTCCCTAGAGGGAAGTAAAAGAAACGCAGGAGATCAAAGAATTAATGGAGGAACTAAAGAATTCTGGGAAAAGCAAGAAAGCAGAATAGATGAAATGGAAGAACGAATAAGTACTCTTGAAGACACAGAAATAAAAAGAACCAAAACAGAAAAGGAAAGAGAAGTATGAAGGAAAAAGAATGAAGAAAGACTTCGGGAACTATCTGACTCCATGAGCAAAGGAAATATGAGTTATAGGAATTCCAGAAGGAGAGGAGAGAGATGTAGGAACAGAGAAAATATTCCAGGAGATAATAGAAGAGAACTTCCCAAATGTGAAGAAGGAGTTGAAAATTGATATACAAGAAGCAAGAACACCAAACAATAAATCTGAAAAAGAAGAAATCCAAAAAAAATCCCTTTTATTATCAAAACAAAAAAAAATCAAATATTTGGGAATAAATCTAACAAAAGAGGTAAAGGACCTATACAAAGAAAACTATAAAACACTGTTAAAAGAAATAGAAGACACAAAGAAATGGAAAGATATCCCCTGCTCATGGATTGGAAGAATAAACATTATTAAAATGGCCATCCTACCAAAAGCAATATACAGATTCAATGCTATTCCAATCAAAATTTCAATGTCATTCTTCAAAGAAATAGAACAATTATTGATGAAATTCATATGGAATCACCAAAAACCCCGAATAGCCAAAGCTCTACTGAAAAAAAAAGAAGGAAATGGAGGCATCACACTCCCAGACTTCAAACTATACTACAAAACCATAATCATCAAAACTGCATGGTATTGGAACAAGAACAGACATACAGACCAATGGAATCGAATAGAATATCCAGAAATAAACCCACAGATTTATGGTCAACTAATCTTTGACAAAGGAGCAAAGAATATGCATTGGAGCAAAGAAAGATTGTTCAATAAATGGTGCTGGGAAAACTGGGTCGCTACATGCAAAAGAATGAAGCTTGACCACTACCTCACACCATACACAAAAATCAACTCAAAATGGATTAAAGAACTAGACATAAGACCTGAAACCATAAAATACATAGAAGGAAACATAGGCGAAACACTACGTGATTTGCACATCAAAGACATCCTTAAAGACACATCACTCAAAGCAGTGATAGTGAAGGCAAAGATCAACAGCTGGGACTACATCAAATTAAAGAGCTTCTGCACAGCAAAAGAGACAATAACAAAAGCAAAGAGAAACCCCACCAACTGGGAGAACATTTTGCACACAACACTAATGATAAAGGACTGATCACAAAAATCTGCAAAGAGCTGATGAGACTCAACAACAACAAAGAAAAGAATACAGTCAAAAAATGGGCAGAAGAGCTAAAAAGAAACTTCTCTGAAGAGGAAATGCAAATGGCCAACAGACATATGAAAAAATGTTCAACATCACTTGTAATGAGGGAAATGCAAATCAAAACTACCATGAGATACCATCTTACACCAGTGAGAATGGCACATATTAAAAAAAAAAACTAGCAATAACAAATGTTGGCGAGGTTGTGGAGAAATAGGAACTCTTCTACACTGTTGGTGGGATTGCAAACTGGTCCAACCACTATGGAGAGCTGTGTGAAGATTTCTGGACCTATTAAACATAGAGCTCCCATATGATCCAGCAATTCCACTCCTAGGTATTTACCCAAAGGACACAGAAACATCAATTCCAAAGAGCACCTGCACCCCTATGTTTATAGCAGCACTATTTACAATAGCTAAGCTTTGGAAACAACCCAAATGCCCAAAAATAGATGACTGGATCAAGAAGATGTGGTACATATACACCATGGAATATTACTCAGCATTCAAAAAAGATAAACACATGCAATTTGCAGCAACATGGATGGCGCTGGAAGGGATCATGCTCAGTGAAATAAGCCAAAAAGAAAAAGAAAAATACCGGATGGTCTCACTCATAGCAGGAATCTAGAAAACTTAAATAAGGGACCAGGAAAATGAATAACTATAAGAAAGTGAAAATCAAAATCAACAAAAAACTATGAACCAGAGACACTTTGTGGGGGAGCGGGGGGGGGGGGGCGGGAGGGGAGGGATTGGGGTCAGAATGTGGGGGTTGCAATTGTATGGGGGAATATAAAAATAAAATTTATTATTTAAAAAAATAAATAAAAACAACAAAATATAAAAAAAAATAGAATGCTGTTGAACCCAGCAAAGTAAATAGAAGCCAGTAATATGCACTCCCCCCTTACCTTGACTGTAAGAGCAGATCCTTCCTGTAACTTGGAAGTTTTCGAGAAAGATCTGATTATCCAGAGTATTAGAATTCCTTCTGAAATTACATGGTAAGCTGAAACTTAAGAGTGAATTCAAAAGAAAACAAAAATAAAATTAACATTTTGAAAACCTGCACACAAAATGTAATTACCTGCAATTCTGCTTCCCATGACCATGCATGAGTGACATTATTTGCAAACCAGGTCTCACAATTCTTAAAGGTTTTTGCAAATCTTACTGCATTTTCTGTATGGCTGATAAGCCACTTTAATCCTTCTTGGAACATGGCAAAGAAAAGTGCTCAACGGAATAGTAGGTCACTTTCTACTGTAGTTCCACAAAAGTATGTATTGTTTTCTTGTCAACAGGCATAAGATACCTTAACAAAATTATCCATGTTGGATCTTATCTGCTGTACATTACTAGGACAAAGGCCAGGCTAGTGTTTTTATATTTTATGTAACTAAACACACTAAGCGTTCATGGAAGATTTCAGATATCAACTAACTTGTCAGCTGGTTAAGAGGCAATTCTTTTGGAATAGTTTATTATTGCAAAGTATTTCCAAGAGGTATTTAGAAACACAATAAAGTTCTTTTCAAACATTAGACAGAAAGTGATGATCCTTCACCAGTCTATATATTTCATTCATTGATCTTATTTCATTCATTTTTATACTAATTAGTTACGCACAGTATGCCAAAAGACTGAACTGCAATTTCTCTAATGTGTAAGCTGAACAAGATCCCCTCTATTTCTTACCTCCTTTACTCCCATTGAAAAATATAATTATGTCTTAAATTGTATTATACATCTCAAATTATTAAATACATGAAATACCAAAAAATCCAGTATCATTTGAAAAAAAAGAAGTATCTCTTCACTAATACATATGCATACAAATTCAGAATGGGGTAACAGGAAAAAATGACAAATCTGTATGTAAACTTTCAAGCCAATGCACTAATAACTTGAAAACTACATATGTATTAATCACCAACACACATTTACGTTCTTTTTGGGGTACTCAACAAGATTTTGCAAATCCTAAACATAAGATGACTCAGGAGCAAAAACAAACTCATTAAAATGATTGAAAATTTGCTTACCTCTCTTAAATATAGTTCATTTAAAACCAAGAATTCACTTTTGATTGTTCTCAATAGATTCCAGTAGGCACACATCTCATTGCACAAAAAAACCCTAAAAAATTAAGATGTTTTCTAGTCAATTAACAAAAATCACAAATGTCACTCTTCCCCACCTTAGGAAATATTACATGGATGAGAACATTTCTCTGCTCTCACTCATGGTCATTTTATGTACAAGAAGTTACACTGTCAAACAGACTTTTCAAAAAGGAAACAATATGCAATATAAAATTATTAAATAATTCAATTTTAGAAGTTCTTATCTTAGTCACTACAATTAACCTGATATTGAACAGCAACACACATTTGTTTCTTCCACCAGTTTTCAAAAAGACCTAACACATCTAGCAATGGTAGACACCATTATTGCCCCAGCCAGTAATCAACAATATTAATTTGTAAAAGCTATTGAAAGAAAACAGAAAATCACTTCACAGGGAGTTTGCTGTTTGTTCACTACACTATCCGTGGCATCTAGTCTGAGCTGTCCAGACCAGACCACCAGTCATAACGTGACTATTTAAATAAATCCCTAAATTAAATGAAAGGAAAAGCTGCACTAATCACTTTTCAACTGCCTAATACTCACATGTGATTTCTGGTTACAGTACTGAACAGAGAAAACGCAGAAACTTCTATTACTACAGGGAAGATCAGTCAATAGTCAAATGATGAACATTCTCCAAGACTGGCACTTGGTTACATATCATCTTACCTACCTGGAGTGGCCAGTTTTTCAAAAAACTCCTAACTGCTCTTCCTATAAGGAACTCTTCTGCACTGTTGGTGGGGGTACAAACTGGTTCAACCACTATGGAGAGCTGTGTGGAGATTTCTGGACCTACTAAACATAGGTTTCCATATGATCCAGCAACTCCACTCCTAGGTATTTACCCAAAGGACACAGAAACATCAATTCCAAAGAGCACTTGCACCCCTATGTTTATAGCAGCACTATTTACAATAGCTAAGCTTTGGAAACAGCCCAAATGCCCAAAAATAGATGACTGGATCAAGAAGATGTGGTACATATACACCATGGAATATTACTCAGCATTCAAAAAAGATAAACACATGCAATTTGCAGCAACATGGATGGAGCTAGAAGGGATCATGCTCAGCGAAATAAGCCAGAAAGAAAAAGAAAAATACCGGATGGTCTCACTCATAGCAGGAATCTAGAAAACTTAAATAAGGGACCAGGAAAATGAATAACTATAAGAAAGTGAAAATCAAAATCAACAAAAAACTATGAACCAGAGACACTCTATGGGTGGTAGAGGGCGGGAGAGGAGGGATTGGGGTCAAAATAAGGTCGGTTGCAATTGTATGGGGAATATAAAAATAAAATTTATTATAAAAAAAATCTCTTAAACACTTGTACCTTACAAGTGAGAAATGGGTGGTAGACGGAGGAATGACGATTTCACAGTCCTTAAATCCGCAGTCATCAGCGCCTGAGAAGGACAGACAATCTCCAACGCAGTGTAACTCTTTCCCCTATTACCTCCCGCACAGACCCATGGACCAGAGTCCCTAGAAAGGCCCTGGACTGACCTGTCCCGTCTATTTCCACCACCCTTTGACCTTCAGCTCCAACTCTGGAGTCAGAGGACCAGGCTCCTTCCCCTGCGCCCTCCCAGGGTCCTTCCCCGCGCCCAGACAGCACCCGGGGGCTCAGCTCCCCAGAGCTCAAACTGCCGCCCTAGGGTCTGGCTCCCGCCCCGCCCCCTACACTGGGCCACTGGGACCGTTGAAAGGGGGGTGGGGGGCCAGAGCCTCCCAGAGAAGGTCGCCAAGGGTGGGCAGAAGCCAGCCCCGCCCCAGCCTCAGCCCCAAACCCACGCAGCCCATCCCACCTTCCCAGCGCCCGGGGTTTCAGCTCAGACCAGCTCCCAGGTACCATCCCCACCAGAACCGGCCGCTCCGCCGCCTTCCCCGGGTCAGCGGACGAGGGCTCCTCCCTAAAGGTGGGTGGGGAGGGGGGACTGGGGGGCACCTCCTTTCCGAGCGGCGCGTGACGTCATGGAGCCTGCAGCGGGCGGGCGGGGCAGCCTCCGCCCTGTGCAGCCCCTGAGGTCTCTAACCTGAGCATCTGCAGGTTGAGAGAGAAGGCTGGGACCTGAGCTGGGGTGTGGGGGCTGCAGGAACTTACCTCTGGGACCGAGAAGGGTGGAATGTGGTGAGAGGGTCCTTTGATAGATGGTCCTGCGCGCCCTTTTGGTGTGAGGCTGCTCTGGGCCCTCTGACAGAGGGATGAGTAGTTGGCCTTGTTCTGGGCAGAACAGTTGGGTGCAGGGAGTATACATTGCAGTAGCAACCAAATTCTTTACTTCTAGGTTGCATAAGTCATCAGGGGTGCATTATCAGAAGAAAATATACAGATATGTAAATAAAAATAGCCTACTCGTAGATAGCACTTACATGTCACGCACAGACTGTCTAAGGCTTTGCAGGTATTTTCATGTCACAATTTGCGTGGGGAACCTTAGTGCCTTCCTGGGCACATGCAAGCCTAGTGTGCGTGCATAGCTGGGTCTGATGTCTGCAGTGTATCTTGGCTAATGTTATTATACAACGTGCTTTTTTCTGTTTTAGTGTTTTTTTTTTTGTTACTCTTATAATTTTGATATCTGTAATGATATTTCTTGCAATAATTTGTTATATATAATTCTTGTTCCATTTCATTTAAATATGTTCCTATTGGTGAACACACTTTTCTCCACTGAGCTGCTATAAACATCCTGTGTGTATGTCTCTCTCTGCACATTGGAGCACTCCCACAAGTCTTCTCAGAGTGGAATATAATTTTAGTGAGGGACGATTCATGTTAATGTTCCAGTCGCTGCCATAATGCTCTCCAGAATGGTGCCAGGACTTGGGAATTTTCAAAGTATACATACGCTTTAGCTTGTAATGAAGCGTATTCAAATTTTAAAACTTTTTTTTTTTTTGCCAATTAAAGGCGGTCAAGTGATAGCTTGCTGAGTTATTGTTTTCAGGTTGCTGATTATTCATGAGGTTGAGAAGCCTTTTATGTTTATATACAGACACTAAAGAAGACATTTTTATACTTTTAAAGGATGTCCCAGCATGTCTTCCTCCCACCTTGCCCCACACCTCTGCTACATGCACACTTGTCCTCTCTCATTTCCCTGAAAGGCCTTCACATTATATGCTGTTCCCTTCATCTGGATCAGTCTTCTCTCTGTTCCTTAATAGCCCCTACCATAGCACCTCTTTAAACAGGGAAAGACAAAATACAAAAGGGAAGGGAAGTGAAAACAGGGATGTGGGTAAAAGAAGATTTTTGTATTTTATCTTCCTCTGTGTAAATATTCCTTGAGTCTTTTACAAAATGAATGCATTCAGATATTATTTATACAATAGACACATAACCAGATTTCTCGTTTCTGGCCTAGCATATAAGGAGCTTAGAAGACACTGTTCCACCATAATGAGAACCTGAATAAACTGAGGAATCAGCCACTCTCCTTGGGTCCACCAGGTAAGTGAGGTCACAGGATAAACCACTGCCCCATAACTAGAGGAAAACAGGCTGCTGGAGAGAATGACAGCTACTAGAACAGTAACTCACAAGCAAAATCCTCCGAAGGAACCAGTGCTGGGTTTGCAAAACCTGTCATTGATGAATTACAGGACATGCAGCATGGATGAGTGTGTAGGTCAAAAACTCTAGAGTAACCCAGTCACTGGGTGCTCCATGTTTTGTGAATTTCATCTCAAAGGACTCCACCAGGACTTCACATTAAAGAGTGGAGAATGGTTGCTTGTGCTTCTGGCAAGAGGAGGGGGAAAGAACTGACTTTGAAATACCAGGGTACTCTGTTCCTCTTACCAAGTCCTACACTCAGGGAAACTAGTTAACCAGAACTTCACCCACTGGAGGTCAATCAAAACCTAACCCAGGGGACTCCCCAGTGGCGCAGCAGTTGAGCGCCGCACTGAGAAGCCATCCGCAGCCTCTGCAGCGCTGATTCAATTCCCACTGGCCAGGGAGACCCCCACATGGCGCAGCAGACCTCTCTTGCCTAGCTCGCTGCTACCCTCAGCTGTGTCTTTGGTCCGTCTGCCTGTTCTGTTCCCTGCTCTGGCTCTGGTGAATTCTCTCACCCTCCCACGCTTCTGACCTATACCACAGTTCTTGTATAAAATAAATAAATCTTTTAAAAAAAAAAAAACAAAACCTAACCCAGCTGGGGAAGTGAAGTATACATCTCCAGTCCCTGTAGCCATCCTGCCCCACCTGAGGGTGGGGGCTGAGCAGCACTGGTAAAGTCCACAGTGCACAGGCTCAGGCTCACAGGAATACAGGATGCCTCCCCTCTCCCACACCTCACCACGACATTACCAAGGGCTTCGTTCTTGGGCCCTTTACCCTGTATGTCCTGTCTGACTACCCAGCAAGACTACCTACGAAGAGAAAAGACTCCCTAGGAGACAATATAACGCAGCTTGATGAGACAGTGTAAGCATCAGAACCAGCCTCAGATGTCTCAGAAATGCTACAATTATGAAACCCTGGAATTTAAAACAACTCGGATCCCTGAGCTTGAAAACATGACAATGGGAAATTTTAAAACTGAAACACAAAGAGAAAGACCGAATTGGAAAACAGAAAAGTAGATTGGCTTGCAATGACTGGGGGACAAACACCAGCATGTATCATTCATGATGGCATTCTCCGATGGAGAATAAAGAAAGAACAAAAAAAAAATGATTGAAGCTATAATGACTGAAAACTTCCTCCAAATTGTTGTCAGACAACAAGCCACAGACCCAATCAACTCAGAACATCACCCAGGATTGAAAAACAAAACAAAAAAAAAAAAAAAAAAAAAAAAAAAACAAAGAAGCAAAAATCCTATGCTTACACAACTGGCAGATAAACTTTAAATCTTCAGAAAATCAAAGATGAAATTTTGAAATAAATCAGAAGAAAAAGCAACTTACTTCCTTACTCACAGAAGAACAAAGACAAGAATTTTATCTGATATCTCTGAAAACTATGAAAGGAAGAAGAGAATGGCATGACATGTTTCAAGTGGTAAGAGAAAAATACTCTGAGCAATTCTTCTCAAGGTAAAGGAGAAATAAAAGGTTTTCTCAGACAAACAAAAATGGAGGGAAATTGTTGTGCATCTATCTGCCTCCCACAAAGTGTTCAAAGAAATTCTTCAAGGAGAAGGATAATGACACAGTCAGAAACCCATGTCTCCACCAAGAAAGGAGGAGAATTTACAGAGGATGAGAAGTTGAAGGTGGAAATAGAAGCTCCTTCAACTGACCTAGCAGATAACAGTTTGTTCAAAATAATAACAGCATCCACGTCTGTACACAGACTTCTGTATGTATATAGCCTGAGCACTCCTGAGCTTTCTTTCTGGCCTCTCTCCAGTATTCTCTCTGGGCTTCTCCCTCAAACCCCTGCCATGGCCTTGTCTTCTTGTAGTGGTGTGTCGTTGTAGAGACTAAGCATGGATATATACGTGTGTGTGTATAGACTAAACTCAAGTATGGATGTACATATACAAGTTTGTTTGTATATGGACTAAACAGACTCCAACCATATAGCCTAGCAATTGTGCTCCTTGATATTTACTCAATGAATTGAAGCAATATCCCCACAAAAAGTCTGCATGTGGATGATTTTAGCAGCTTCCTTCATAACTGTCCAATCTTGGAAGCAACAAGTTGGGAGCAGATAAACCAACTGTGCTACATCCAGACAGCGGTTCATTATTCAGCACAAAAAGATATGCGCCAACCAGCCATGAAAACCATGACAGATCCTAAATGCATATTACTATGTGAAAACAACCAATCTCAAATGGCTACTGTTGAAAACAAATCCCTGCAATAGGTGCAGAGTTCAGATTTCAGAAGAAAACAAAGTGTTTTAGTAATTTATCACTTCAAATTGAATGTAGAGCCTACCACCGTGTAAGACTTCTGAGTGACACTGTCCTCTATATTATCTCTCCATTCTTTCAAAACCTGTAAGACAGGGCCTCCCTGTGGCACAAGGGGTTGAGCATAGCGCTGTGAAGCTGTCTGCAGCCTCTGTGGCGCAAGTTCGATCCCCTGGCTGGCCAGGGAGCTACCCATATGGCGCGGCGACCTCTCCTGGTTCACCTGCTGCTCCCCTCAGCAGTGTATTTCAGTCAGGCAGCTGTTCTGTTCCCCACACTGTCTCTGGTGAATCCTCTCACCCCCACAACTCTGGCCTGTACCCCAGTCCTTGCATACATAAATAAATAAATCTTAAAAAAAAACATATGACAATGTTATAGTCATGATTTTAATTGTCTAATGTGACAAATTCTTAGTTTTCTTTCATCTGAGATTATGTCTATATTGCCTCATTCCTGCAGGATGTGTTAACTGATATGGATTTCTGTGTGGAAATATGAACTTTTTTTTTTCCAGCATAAAATATATTCCACCGTCTTCTGACAGCTATGATTTTTAATGAAATACATGTTTGTATTGAAATCACTGTTCCTCTATCAGTAATGCCTTTTTCCCTTCCCACCTGTTTTTTTTTTTTTTTTTCCCATGGATAACATTTCCTTGGTTTACTGCAGGTGCTGGTATAGAAATATCTTTCTGAGATATGTCATGGAGTGTATTGCCTAAGTTTTCTTTCATGCATTTTATGGCTTTGGGT